CGGGGAGGGAAAAGGTCAAAAAAGGGGGGGGGGGGAGGGGGGGAGGGTGAAAAATGAGTCTGAGACCTCGAGAGTGGTGGAAAAACACCCAAAAAACGAACCAGATACGCCAAAAATGGGGAAAACAGCCCAAAAATGTGTTAAAAGACTCCAAAAAAGGGGCAAAACCACCCCAAAATGGAGAAAACGGCCCCAAAAAATGGGCCCCAGATGCCCCCAAATCCATCTGTCAATCATGGGGGGGGGGAGAGCACAAGCCCCGCCCCTTTGTTGGCCACTCCCCCCACGTGGCCACGCCCATTTAGGACAGGCCACGCCCCCCTTTCAGCCTTCCCGATTTTTTTAATGGAAATCAAATTTATCACATTAAGCCCCGCCCCCTTTGGGTTTGACCACACCCACAATGAAGCCACGCCTCTCAGTGGCTCATTAGCATAAAGGGGCGTGGTCTGCATGCTCTGGCCACGCTCATGCATCTATGGGTGCCTCATTAGCATAAAGGGGCGTGGTTTGTTCCAGTCAGCCACATGCATGGGTTCATTAGCATAAAGGGGCGTGGTTTGTTCCAGTCAGCCACATGCACAGGTTCATTAGCATAAAGGGGCGTGGTTTGTTCCAGTCAGCCACATGCATGGATTCATTAGCATAAAGGGGTGTGGTTTGTCCCATCCACATGCGTGGGTTCATTAGCATAAAGGGGCGTGGTTTGTCCCATCCACATGTGTGGGTTCATTAGCATAAAGGGGCGTGGTTTGTCACCATTAAGTCCACGTGCATGGACTCATTAGCATAAAGGGGCGTGGCTTATTCCAGTTACATCCCTGTCTGTGGATTCATTAGCATAAAGGGGCGTGGTTTGTCATGGTTACATCCACATGCATGGGGTCATTAGCATAAAGGGGCGTGGTTTGTCATGGTTACATCCACGGGGTCATTAGCATAAAGGGGCGTGGTTTGCCACCATTAAATCCACATGCATGGGTCATTAGCATAAAGGGGCGTGGTTTGTTCAGGTCGCATCCACATGTGTGGGTTCATTAGCATAAAGGGGCATGGCCTGTTCAGGTCACATCCACATGCATGGGGTCATTAGCATAAAGGGGCGTGGTTTCCCACTCTGGCCCCGCCCCCCAGCACTTACCGCCCCCTGGTGGCTCCAGGCTGTCGGGGAATTTGTCCGGGCGGGGCTGGGGCGGGGCCCGGGGCGGGGCCGGGGGCAGCGCTGGGGGGTGGGGGAGGGGACATCGGTGACACCGGTGACCCCCAGACCCCTCCCCGTCACCCCAAAATTGCCCCAAATCGCCCAAAATCCCCTGTCCTACACCCCAAATTACCCCCAAACCCCCTTTCCCACCCCCCAAATCCCTTTCCCGCCTCCCAACCCCCCCAAACTTCCCCTAAACTCTCCCGAACCCCTTTCCCACCCCTCACATTCCCCCTAAAACACCCAACCCCCCCAAACCCCCTTTCCC